CAGTATGACCATATTTGACTGGTCAAGAATAATTGATAGAAATAATTATCGGGGTTGAATGAGTGGTAAGATGCAGGCCGTTAAAGTAGTGGAAAAAGTTTTACAGTGGCTAAAGGCCAGGCTTATTCAGATCTCTGATTGAGAGTATTTACTCGAGGAATTAATTATTGCTCACATGTTCAAAAACAGTTTATCATTTTTTGGGAGTATAACACATGCATTTAACGTAAAATTATATTTAAATATCCAATATTTTTGATCAAGGGCCTATTATGATTCATGATAGCACCCAAAATATCATAAATAATTTATTGTAAATATTGTGTTTAATAATATATCAGATCAAGAAAATTTCATTTAAAAAATTCTTGGAAAATCAAAATTGATCGTCTTCAATTTAAAAGAATAATCTGCGAAATTCAGTAAAGATTCTTAGCTTTTAACATTTTTAATTCTGAGAATTTTAGGAAAAAAAAATTTGATCTCTTTAGTTTTTATTCTGTGGGAAAAATATGTCAATCAATAATAGTTCGCATTTAAAATATTTTAGTACATCGCTGTGGTAAAATAACAAACCAATTAAAAATTCATAACAAAAAATGTAGAAGCAATGATTATTTCAGGTTGTTTCATTTATAAATGCCTAATGAATACTTAATTTGCACTCATTAAGCAGAAACCAAATTATACTCTAAATGAACTATAAAGTCAACGCTGTGTGATAATATCAGATTTTTAATAACGATTCAAAATATTTTTGAATTTTATGATTTCACGCCCTATATAGATATTATTTGTTCTTTTCTCTTTATTCAATCTAAATGAATTAAAATTTTAATATTATATAATCCTGAAGCTCTATTAAGACGTGTAGCATTGAGCATGAAGTTAGGCCTTTTGAGAGCACTACCTGTAAAGCTTAAGCAAATATGTAATACTTTATTGCATACATTTTAGTTTAGTGCCACAATCCAGTTTGGTTGATAATAAATAAAATGTTTTCAACAAAATTGGAATCAAGGTTAAAAGCAATTATAATAAAAAATTGAAAAAATTAATTTATTTTATCTAAAATACTTAAGCGAACTCTTTTCGTTTAAATATCAGCATGTTTAAAGATAAATAAGATGGAGGTGGGGGGGGGGCTTCTTTTAGCCTCTGTTCCATCAAATTAGCATTTAGAAATTAGAAATTGTTTGATTATACATTTGTGACTGATTTATGAATATTTACTTCAACCTGGTATAATATAGACCCGGGGCGGGTTCAGATCCCCTTAGGAAAATAAATTTTATAAATTTCCGCTAAATAAAGTTTATCCGTGACCCTATTTGAGTTTACAGACTTAAAGACAATTATATTCGTCCACACTATTAAATTTCTTGCTATGCCTAAGCAAAAAATACTTTTATAAAAAGTTTATAATATCCAAAAGATAATGTTTAAATAAATAATTGAACGGGAATTTATGAAACAACTAAATAACATAAATAGTGCAGTAACAAGCAGTAAAAAAAAAAATTTCTAAAAAATAAATTTGATAAATCATTTTATAATATTTAAAAAAATTATAATTTCAAATCAAATCCAAAAATGAATAATTGCATTTATTCGAATCGAATTATTTTTTTTTAACAGTCTTACTATGAAGCGTACACGCTTTTAGGTCAAACTGGGTATTAAGAGGTGACCCATTATTATCATATGCACAAAAACGGGTAATAAATTAAGATGAAAATACGAAATTCAAATTTTGAATATATTTTTCTTAGTGTAGTGTGATTATAACTTTTTTGTGTTTAAAGTTTTCATTTATCACTATTTTACAGAGGGGGATTTTAAAAAAAAATCAAAATTTTGAAAGAGATTTTTTGAATTTTACATAAATAAAAAAAAATATTTTGTCATTGTCATGCATAAAAAAAGATCAGAAATGAAATAAAATATTTTATAATTTGTTCAAAAAATTTTTCACCATTATATATTTGATCAACCGTGATTCATGTTTGCAGTGGTTTGTAAAATTTAAGCGTATAAATCAATAAGTTTAATAAATGATTTATGACTAACAAACTAAAAAAATAAATTTTTTGAGGAATAACCTCATCCCCAGAAATAATCCAAATCAACAGCATAACCGCTGCTTTAGAATTTTAAAGACAAGTTTTAGTCTGACTCTCTTCCACATCTTGGGGACCCTTGATTGCAAATAAGAATTCATAAATAAATTCAAAGCCTTAAATTTTGTTCCTACTTTCTCTTTGAATTTACAAAATCATTTAACATTTTTTTTTTGATGAATAGTTTCATTTTACGTTGAATTCCTAATTAACGCAAATTCGCGGCGATAAATACAAAAATGAGACATATTTTTTATACTTCGTTTTCGTGCTCTGAAATCAAAGTTAGGGCGTGAATAAGCTTTATTTAAAAAAAATCGACTTTGCCACAAGCGCATTGCGTTAAAAAAAATAATAAGCTACATTTAAAGTGCAATGCGAATTTTTTCGCAATGTAATTTACATAATCAAGCCATTAAAGTATAATTTTTAAATATTGTGCGAATTATCGCTGTGATAAATCAGCTGTAACTTTCTCATAGCTTGACCAAGATATACACCAAAAATGATTGAAATATAGAGTCCTTTTTTAAAAAAAAAAATTTAAGAGGGATAGATCTATAACCCTCTTGTTTTTTTATCGGCGATTTAGGTCAAAATTTTAATTAATACTCAAAAAGGTGTAATATTAGATATTTAAATTTATATACAAATTAAGATCATCTTGGTAAATAAATTTGGAAAAATTGAAAATGTCCATCAAAGTATATGGTTTATTGTGCATTATCTTTTTATTGCGCACCATATTATTTTTATTTGCATTCTTTTGGATTCGAATAATATTCAATTTATCGAAAACCTGAATTATATCAAAAAATAATTTCCCCCAAAAAAACAATAAATAAAATATAAAAATGAAACAATAGTTATGTAAATGGGGTTGTTATATATTATAAGCATGCAAATGGGGATTACAATTGGAAAAAATAAATATTTGAATATATTTTTATTCATTTTTCGGGGGTTTAATTTTGAGCTCTTATATAAAGTGAATTGGCTTTAGCAAATTATATATAAATTTTTTTTTGATTTACAAATAGTAAAATTATAATTTTAAATATATTTTTTTTGGAAAAATGCTAAAATTTTTGGGATTTACCATTTTAGCCTTAGTATGTTCCAGTGTTTATGGTAAAGAAAGCTTCCTTACTAAATCTAGAAGGACTCGGCAACTACAAGACACAAGTAATATAACTATAAATTATATAATTTTAAAATGGTAAAAATATATTTATTTAAATACAAAAATAAAAAAGTTTCAACATATAACCCATGCACTGATAGTACCTTGATGTATTATCCAGTACCTGGCCAGCCTAATTTGTATATTGAATGCAGTAATGGGAAGCCAATTGTAATGAAATGCGCACCTAGCACCTACTGGGTACCTCCTATGGAAACGTGCAGTTATGAGTCTGATTATAAAGATTATTTGGCATCTTTGGGTAAATCTCAAGATACTTCCTCTCTTCTTGGTAAGTCTTCTTTTGGAAAGTCTTCTTTTGGAAAATATGATCAGCAACAGCTAGCTGTATATCCAACTTATGGCGGTGTAGATACGACCAGCTATGTTGGTGCCAATACATACAATCCACCCCGAATCATCACTACTTTGTCTCAGCCTCAAATACAACCACAAATACAACCACCACCCCCACAAAAATTTGGGCCCCCTATTAATGGAGGACCTATTGGAGGACCTATTAATGGAGGACTGCCACCACTACAAAGTTTTCTGCCTCCTAATCAAAATGGTTATGGACGCGCTATATTGGGAGGACCATCACCTAATTTTGGGACAAACGCTTATCCATCTTTCCCTCAGGCAGGATTTAACTTGCCTAACTTTATCGGCTTACCGAACCAAGACCCTGGAACAGTTATTATAGGAGGAATGGGTCCTGGCGTGTCCAAGAACCTTGGCGGAATACCCCCAATTTATTCTCAATTGTACCCATCTGGGCAAGATGTTTCAAACCCCAATTACTATCAACAGACAAATCAGGGTTACATTCCAAGTCAAACTGATTTTACCAGTTCGACCGCTAACCAACAAATTCCGAGGAGCGGATTGGATACTTCACAGAATGTTTTATTTCAGGACAGAGTCTACAATCAGGGTTACATTCCAGGTCAAACTGATTTTACCAGTTCGACCATTAACCAACAAATTCCGAGGAGCGGATTGGATACTTCACAGAATGTTTTATCTCAGGGCAGAGCCTTCTATCAGGATTACAGTTCACAACCTTCGAAAACTGATTTAGGAATTCCTTACACTGTTAATTCTCAAAACACCCCTTATATTATTTCAGACAATCATCTTAGCGATCTTATTAGATATTTGAACCAGGCATTGTCTCAGAATCCTTCTGTTGGAAATTCAGCAAGTTATGCTCCTGACGACTCTGGATTAACCTGGAATTTCAATTCTCTTAATTCCAGAAGGAAGAGGAACTCCAGCCCCATTTAAACAATTAATTTTTTGTAATACGAATATACACTTGTATATATACACCTTAATAATAAAATTAATTTTTTTTTCAACTTTATCAAAAATAAATTAAATATTGAACATACAAAAAATTGTTTCTGAACCTAGGCTAAAATAAGGAAGTGAACTGACATTATAAGTAATTTTTCATAACCTTTCTTTTTTTAATCAAAATTTCATCTCAATATTTTAAAATTTTCGCTCTGTGTAGTGCGGACCGGCTGGGACCGGACCGGACCACGGTCCTTAAGAAAAAGATCGGTCCGGTCTGGTTCCGGTTTAAGACGGATAGGACCGTTGACCTTTACTAGCTCTGTCTTACTTTGGAATTTGACATAAGATTTTTTGTTTTAAACAATAAATACAAATTTATTGAAATTTTAATACATCATATTATCAATAAAATTATAAATTTTTAAAAAAATTAGGTATTCGCGAGTCTATAAATTTTATTTGCATGTATTTCGTTTTTTTCTGATAACATGTCGAACATCGTTCTCGTCGTGGATGATGATATCGTCAAAATTTGGCATTTTGGAACTGTAAGCAGAGTCTATCAAAAGATGTCTTTTATTTTTGCCTTTCCTATGCATCCTTTTAATTATTTCATATTTAATTTATATAATTTTTTTTTGCGAATAAAAACATGTAACTAACAAAAATTAAATTTTTTTTATTAACTCCAATGATTTCTTGAAACTTGTTTGGTCGTCAGAGTCATCTTCTTGCCGTTTAACGGGTCTTGTTCTGATTCTTGTAATATTTTATAGGTAAAATTAGATTTTTTTTACAAAATAAAATTTCTTTGGAATGAGTTAAATGAAGACAAATTTTAGTAAGAATGGAATTAAAACAAAAAATCGATAATAGTAATAACTTTACCTAACTGTTTCGGAATCGTGTATCATATCCGCTACCATGGTTATGGTGTTTTTATCCCTTCTATTATCTTGGAGGAGTCTATTTTTGAAAGTCTTTGTGAATATCCCTTTCCCTAATTTAGGTTGAAGAGTATTTTGATGTAATTGATTCGAAGTCATCTTATCATACATTAATAATATTTCGGATTCGTAATCAAACGGAACTTCCTTTTCAAGGTCATCGATTATTGGCGATTTATCTATTATTTATTTTAAAAAAAAATAAATAAAATATAGCGCAGGTGATTATGATTTTTATAATGGCGGCTCTTATAGCGATTAAACCCTAGTTATCTCTCTTATAGAGTAAACCTAAAAATGATAATTAATGTACCCCTTTTTATTTTATCATAACTAAAAAAACCTTTTTTGGATTTCATGGCAGAAGTGCGAGAGTCTAGAGTATTGGATTCCTCTTCAATGTCATTGTAGGTTATCAGATGTCTCCCATTTGATGTTTGTGGGACATCAGAGTTATATGAAGGTGCCAAATTCTTGAATTCTTCTGGGTATGTTTGATTGACGTATTTATTTTTCTTGGAGTTGATAGCGAGAATTTGTCTCAAATCCAATCTTTTGTTAAAATTTCCTAGCCTTATTTCGACTAATTTATTATGATAAAAAAAAATTGCTTAATAACATCCATAAATAGGAGGGGGGAAGGGAGATTGTTTATAATAATCATGGTTTGAAAGAAAGAAGGAAATATAATAGATGTTTAAAGAACAAGTTTTAAAAAACTACAACATATTAATGAAATCGAGAATAGGAGGTTCGCACCACATCCACTTGTATTAAAGATAAGGGTATCAAATTTCATATTCATTAGTCCCGTGTTCTCAGGCACAATCTGTGACTTTAAAAAAATAATCCTTTACCAATTAATTGGAGAAAAAAAAAGGAATACTGCTTATAAAAAAAGTCCCCACTTAGAAAAAACGGAAATTATATGAATAATAGAAAACTCCTTATAAAACCTTTAAAAAATACGATATTTAGTGAATTATTCCTCAATAAATTCAATATACCCCAACATTCTTAATTCTATATTATCCCCGTAAAATTTATAGTCAGGAATTTTTTCCATGATCACCTTAGGCTCACCAGGGCTAAGCGATCATTTCATAAATGAGATGCAATGTTTAAAAAAAAATATCGAATATATCTTCCTGTAAATTATTTTATGGTAATTTTAAAAATACTATAAAATAATTCAAATCAAATACAAATAGTAAACTATTCCATCGTTTAATCAATGAATACGAACAATGGACTATTTGATTCGTATTTAGTGTTGTTAAATTACCCGTTTAAGATTTTAGCCAAAATAATATTATATAAGCCTGGTGATTTTCGGGTTTGGACCTCAATTCGCCAAATCTCGTGTCTTACATATTTGGCCAAAATCTTAATCAAGATATATTACCCAAATCGGGACGTTTAACAACACTAAACACGAATCAAATAATACATAGTTGATATTCGATTGATTAAACGAATGGAATAATTTACAATTCGTATTTTATGAATAACAAAATTTATTCATATATTCGAATTGAATTACTCGTTTTTTTAAAAAAAAAATTTTTTATAAAATAATTTACATGAAGATATATTCGATATTTTTTTTAAAAAAATTCTCCATGGCAATATCTATTTAGTCGAAATTTCTCATTTATGAAATGAGCGTATAGCCCTGGTGAACCTAAGGTGATCAGAAGAAAAATTTATGACTATAATTTTTTGAGGGGATATTATAGAATTAAAAGTGTTGGAGTATATTGATTTATTGAAGAATCAAATTGACTAAATATCGTATTTTTTTAATGGTTGCTTAAGGGGTAATTATTGGGGGGGGGGGGGATTTTCCTTTAATGAAGGCTTTCATCAAATATAATTAAGAGTGTTGGAGTATATTGAATTTATTGAATCAAATGATAAAATCTTTAAAATCCTTTAAATCTACAGTTATGTCGTATATATTGCTATTTATTTTAATTTTAGAGTGTTATCTTTGAGAATAGTTTATATAGATAAAAAAAAAGTTGATAATTCAGGTTATTAACTATTTTATTTAGGTGTTAAAAATGAAAATGGATATATTATAAATGATAAGAGCGTGCTCTTCCCTCTTGCAATGATACAAGCAATAGTTTCACCACCTGTTCCTGTACCATATTCATATTTTTCCCAAATGACCTCTCTTTGACACCATGGTCATCAAGATCAATTAAATTCATCAGTCTTTAAATTATCCGTCTTAATTATGTCAACTTTTTATGTAATAATTTATCACAAACTAAATTCATAAAGAAAATGAACTATATTTTTGTTTTTAATTAGAGGTGTGCCGATATATTAAATATTGGTATGGAGCCGATAATTATGCCAGTATTTTCGAAAGAAAAAATCGATCAGGTTATAATTGTTTTTGATTATTTTGTGATTGTATATAAATAATAATATTTTATACTTAATTTTTTAAAGAAAACATATTATATTATGATACGAACCTTTTTAAAAACATAGAAATAAAACTTGGGACCCCCACATTATTTTTTGGTTTACAAAAAAAATTCTTTGGGCATGTGAAATTGCTCTTATATTTAGCCTATATTTTTTTTCTTAAAACTTAGTTCCACTTAACATAAGTTCCAGGGAGGATATCACTATTGGTATAAAAATATTCATTAATTTTTAACTTTATTTTTGTCGAAAATATCAGCACATATTTACAGAGCAAGGTACTGAAGTTGAAACATCTTGCCTTAGGCCATCATCTGATGATAAAATAGCAAGAGCCAGGATGTTTGAATATTTAGGACTTGTAAAACCACACCTGATTATTGAAACCCTTTATTACATAGCGAGTTGTAATTTGTTTTACCTCGCCTACAAAGAGCTCTAGTACACAGAACGATATGAAAGACACGCAGAAATCTACCAGATTTCAAGGAGGATAAAAAAAATGAAAAGAGGAGATAGTGAATATTTCTTCTCCAAGGTTTGGGTGTAATTAAATGGAAGGACACTAAGTCATATTATTAATAAGCAATTTTCATGAGGTCTCTGATTTACAATTAATCCCGCACAAAGAAAAAGATGATTCTCTTATACATGTTCCCTGCCCAACCGTAACTAAGGTTTTGTAGACCACTGAAATCATTATAAAATCCTTTATGGAATCCCCCATCGGGCAAAGCGATGATGGATGCGTCTTTTCTTCTTCCTAGAAGATACGACTATTGTCAATAGTTATTCAAATCATAAGTAAAATATTTTATTTATATTTATAATTGAATTTTAAAATTCGCAGGTAAATTTTAAAATAAATTAACTATAAAAATCTTTGGGCTACAAATCGTCGAGAATATATCTCAAATAATTAATGCTTTGGTCAACTTCATCACAGATCAATTCTATATCGATTCTTGCTAAATTTCATGAAATATGTTGCTGATGATATAGTAAAAAAAGAATAAGATCATAATCCTATTAGAATTCTTGCAAATGATTCTGAGTCCCTTGGGAAATACTGAATTGATGGCATCACTATAATACCAAAAAAAACGAAATTAGGAGATCCTGTGAATGTTTTATATGTAAAGTATCGCTAAACATTAACGCAAAACGGAATCGTTTTTTTTCTTTTCATAACAAAAAATAATTTATATCATACACAGTAGAACAAAAAATGTCCCTCCCCTATTTATAAATTATTTTATAATTTTTGTATTTTATATTATAATTTTAAATATCGAAAAATAAATTTTAAAAACAATCTCAGTCATTATTTTAGTTTTTTTAGGTGAATAATAGAGGGGTTTTTTTAATGTAAAAATGTAGCAATAAAGTGTTAATCACTTCATGCCTTGTGTATTTACCCTAACTAAATAAAACCAAAATTCAATTTAATTGTAATTTTTAAAACATTTAATTAATATAAAAGAAAGATTAGCTTTGTGATATAATAGATTTATAAAAGAATGTTGTATGCTAATTTACTTTACAAATAATTGGAATTCCAATATAAAGTTAAATCATTTTTTTGAATATCTGGTTTAACAGGTATTTTTTTTGCTTTCAACACAAATTCCAAATTTTCCAAATAATCATCAAAGTATTGATGTCATCAAATTATCATATAATTTTAAAAACATAAATTAATATTATTAAAATAAAATTAGTTTATTTATTCTCAACTATTATATAGGCAACGGAAAAAAAATAAAGTCAGTTAAAATGAAAAATATGGGAAATCTTAAAAATAATAACGGGGAAAAAAATTTATAATTATTCATTTTAAAAATTTATCAATTAATAATGAAAATGGAAATAATGATTCTAAATGTGGAGATTATTCAAAAATTATTTGAACTCTAAAAATATTGGTAGTTCTTCATTGAGGAAATTATATAGTGTTGTTAAACGGCTCGTTTTGAGCCGATTTTTAAAAACGGCTAACTCAATATTTCACCCAGAAAGATGTTACGTAAGCCTGAAGATTTTGCTCAGAGAAGGAACAAAGGTCCAGACATATATTATCGAAATCTCGAGGCTTAGGCAATATTTTTCTGGCTAAAATATTGAGTTAGCCTTTTTAAAAAATCGGCTCAAAACGAGCCGTTTAACAACACTAAAATTATATTAAAAAAAAATATTATAATTCACTTGAACAATTTGAATTTATATTTCCAAATGATTACAGGTTCAGTGATGGATATTATTAATATTTGACAATGGAAACCTTCATGAAATTCATGGCATTTCAAACATCTTTTAGAACTATTAAAATGATTATGTTTGAATTTACAAGAATTGCCAATTTAATACCTTGTGGTAAAGAATGTACATAATTGTTTTGCCTGATTATTATTATAGTTCTTAATTTGATTTTTATATATTTTTAAATTTCATTGTTAACATTTTTTGTTTTTGTTGGCCTTCAATGAGCATAAGGTAAAACTTGTTCCAATGACAATTATTAGTTGGTAGTACCAATTTTTTTAATTTAATAACATTAATTTAATTTATGTTTTTAAATTATATAATATATTTTTTTTCTAAATATTAAAGATTTATTTGGTTTATCTTAATGATCAAATTAAAATACTATAAAAATTAAAAAACTATATAATTAAAAATACTATAAAATTGAGTTCCAAAAAGGAACCTTAGTTATTACTAACAATTTATATTTGAATTTTTTGGTGCATATATAAAAAATCTATAGCTTCAATTGTAAAAAGCTGTATTTTATTGCCTATATTTTGTAAAAACTTAATTGTTAATGGCAAAAAATGGCCATTTGTGGAAGTCACTATTGGAATGAATATGAAGTTGTTATATTTTTGTATTTATTCCATTCCATTCTAATATAATTAATATATTACAATGATTAACTTTTGTATAATTAGAAAATAAAACATATTTAATCATTTTTTATAATAAAACAAGTATTGTGTTGACCACAAAAAACCCAAAATTTCAGTGTTTCTTGTTCATCCCCTAGTTTACAATATATGTTATAATTTTTCCATAGAATATATTAATTATTTGATGTCCTTGATTCAACAAATGTCAAATAAAAATCAATATTAGATCAGTTTGTATCAATATTGGAAAATGTTCATATTGGCAAAAATTTGTGGATCATCACAGGGCTAATTTTCATTTATTACTTTATATTACCTTTATTAGGTTTTGGATAAAATTCAGGGTGAGTAATATTATAAAAATTTAAATGCATAAGGTAACTAAGAAAATAAATAATTAAATTTGAAATTAATTTTAGTTAAATAATAATTTTAAAATGTTTATTATTTTTTTAATTATTCAATTTTATTAATAGTACAAAACTAATTATAATTTTTTTTATATTTGTTTCTGAATGCCTACTATTCTGAAATCATAAAATTAAAATTTGTTTTAATTATAAATGTCAACTACAATAAAATAACAATATTTACTGTTTTTAGCAAATCTAAATAATAATAAGGGATATTTTGGTTGTGTTTCAATCTCTGATTCATAAGGAGGGTAGATAAATTTACGCCATTTGTGAGAAAGTAGTACAGTTTCATCTTTAGCATTTGCTATTCTTTTGTTACTCCTTTTTCCTTAAAAAGATATAGCTACAACAAAATAAATAATACTTAATGAATTAAAATCATCTTCTATTTCTCCATCTTCAAAAGTATTTTCTTCATAAGGTTTTTGATTGAAATATTCTAATAAATTTACATCAGTAGGTTCAGAATGATCTTTTAAAAATAATAAGGAATAATCATAATCTTTAAACTTGATTGTAACTAAAAAAAATTTAAATAATATATATATTTCTATTTTTTTACATTTATTTGAGCTTAAGGAATCTATCGACATTAACTGATAGTTTGATAAAATGTTGGAACATTCATTGTCTTCTTCCATATCATATGGATCTTCAAAAGGACTTATTAAGAACAAAAATTTCATATTAAAGCTCTCATCCTTATCTAAAGTAAACAGTAATATTTATTATTTGGCAGGTTTTATCCTCACCATCCATGAAATCATCTAACCCAATTCCTAAACTATAAACTTTATTAAATATAATTAAAAAAATGATACCTTCGTAATATTTCAGCTTTGTCGCTTATAATATTTTTATCCTCATCAATTACGCCATGAAATTTATTATAACGTTTATTACTCACTTCATCACTTTCATCATTCACACTTTCCATATCCATAGTTTTTTAAATGATAATAAATATATTGTAATGAGACAGAAAATGGCGATTAAAAAAATTCTTTTGTTATGTAATAATTGAAATATAATATTATATAGTGATAATAAATTTTATTTTAAAGAATTATATTAATATATTAATGCATTTGAATAATGTAATTGATAATGATCAGATATAGAGAAAGAATTTTAACATGCGGCAGTTAACTTGTAATCATTCCGAGCAATTTTTATGGTTGCTAAACAAATACTTAGTGGATATATCAATATTATTAATTCCTATATTGGTATATGCATATGTTACTTTTAATTTATATTGGTAATTCTATAATATATTCAGCTGATCTGAAATTTATCGTTGCATTCACCCATTTCTCTTCACATGTTTTTTTCTTTTTAGAAATATTTTCAATGGTATTGCTATCATTTATTATTTTTTAATATAAATATTATAGGAGCTTGATATATATGATCCTTTTTCATTATTTGAGCATGGCGAAAAATTGTTAGAAGATCATCAAATTGATTTAGCAAGAATATCTTTTTTGTCCGTTTTAAAACTAGATCCTTATAATATATTTAGCTTAAATAAATTGATGCTCATCACTTACTCAACAGGAGAATATGAAAGTTTTATTAATTTTTCTACACACTATTTTATTTACCTATAGATTGCATTGATTTTATAATAACAATACTCAAGGTTTATCCTCAAGACAAAAATGCAAAGATAATGTTACATAAAATATTTGAAGAGGATTTGTATATGTCAAAAAAATATAAGAATAAACTACTTATAGAATTAAATGAAAATCCAACTTTATCTTCTTTTTTTAATGAGGAATGCCACAATATTATTGAGATCTTAAATAACATATATAATGATGAGAGCATTATATGTAACATAAACTCTGACTCTCTTTTAAATGTTAAGGACACTATATCAAATTGGTCTGATTATATAAATATTTTGCTTAAATTGTTCTACAAGGAAACAAATGTAAAATAAATTTCTACTATATACTAATCCTATGTATAAATCAGGAAGGAAGAATTTTAGTAAATTTAAATACATTCTTTAGCATAATGACTAACAAAATGAGTGAACTTGAGTCCACTTTGGCTTTACAGGAAAATTTTGGAATCAGACCCTTCAAAAATACTATTGATGAGCAATTGAAATTAACTTTGATAGATGGTAATTAAAAATATTTAAATTTTTTACAAAAATGATTTTTTTATTATTCATATAGTATTGTTATATTACTAATTTGTCAAAAACAACATTAAGATAATGAAGAGATAACTCTATCAACCTCTCAAAAACGATTACATCAAAATGAAAAACAAAAAAATAATTTATCTACTGCGCAGCAAAATAGTGACATTTTGACAAATCTTTACATTATTAAGAGACGTTCTGCTCGAGTTTTTCTTTCTTTATATTTGTTTTAACTTAAAATATATCAATTTTTACACTAAAAAACAATTATAGAGTTTAAATTCATATGGATCAAATAGATTTTTAATAATTTTAACCTTGTATCAAGATAGAAATCTTTTTTTCAGAATATGAAGGTTATATCAGATATAATTTTAAATTGTTAGTCTTTCTATAATATAAGTGTTTTAAATTGTTAAATTAGTTTTATTTAAATCCTCTCAAATTTTAGAATATCTTTAAATGATTATACAGCTCTTTCATGTTTCCTATAAAATTCTATAGTTTTTGTAATATCAACTCTATTTGAAATTATATATATATTTAATGTTTAGCAATATATTACTAGAATAATACTTGTCTCTTTAAAGTAGGAAAATAATCAAATTCAGTTTATTTTCTAATTAAAATTATTTATCTGCTCAAAATAATTTTTAACAAACAAAGGTCAAAAACGTTTGTAGAGTCAAAAGAACGTCCCTCCATAATAAATCTCCTAAATCCTCGTTCGGTCATGACTCCATTCAATCTCAGTTATCCAAATCGTGGGCTGTCACTTTAGATGAAGCCATCTTTGGGTCTAGAATATCAGAATTCATGGGAAAATACGTCAACAAAAAGGCAATCAAATTTATGGATAGCGATAAAGGTTTGGAGGTTAAAATTAGTCACGAAATTGTAGTTTCAGAGAAGATCCAAGAATTAAGGACGTTGATCCAGTTTTTCGACAACATTATGAAAGCAATTCCTAAAAAAACTTTAACTGTCTTTACTGATTCTAGAGCGTCTACGGTTCATATTTCTGAAGAAACTGGCCGAGAAATTATAGGTTATTGATATGATTATAAATTTTCCTTTTAACCAATCTTGGCATTTCCAAATATAATATATAAAAAATGCATATATACTCTGGAAAAGAATATTTTTATAATCGTTCTTACACTATCTTAATATTTTTCATGCAATAGCTAAAGTTAGCACTAGTAATTTTAAGGCTTATGATGAAGAATTATAAAGTAGAATAGATATAAGCCTAAATTTGATCTCGAACTGATGGTGGGGTGTTATGCTGATATTATATCATAAACTGCTATATTTATTGTAAAAATCTTGGATAAAATTAAAAAGAAAAAAAGGAAGAAAAATAATCAATAATCCGATCCAATATACGAAAGATCGAGACCTTCCAAAAATTTTTACCTCTGTAAATAATTTATAAACTTTTTAAATAGAACACAAAATAGAACTATCTCATTTGATCATTCGTACACTAACTCACTTGTCTGTCAATTATGCTTGCAGTTTTAGTTGTTCTAATTTTTCTTGGAACTTAGTTCCAAGTAAAATATGGACACCTCAGTTTAAATACGAATTTTTGACCATTTTCGCGCAATTCATGGTGAAAAATATATACATGTCCCCCTGGAACAATGCAGATCCGCTGGAAGCCTTACAAAATTTCGAAGAAAATCAGATGATAGATGAAAATAATGGGAACTTAAACAAGGAAATTGCCCAAGATATACCCTGGGACGATAGTGAGAACAATATGACACCAGGAATATCTGAGCAGACTAAAATAAATGGTATAATTTTGACGATTTTCATTTTGATAGTTTTTTAATTTAAGAATTCAATATCATTAAAATAAATCCATATCTTTTAGATGACGAAAAGACGTTTTTATTAAATAAAAAGGGTAGACTCTTGTCACTTGTAATGTGCGCTCTCGAGATTCAAATCGATATCCACATCAACAATGCCTTGGTTGGGGAACGTGTGCTAAGTAGAGGTTATTTTTGTTTTGTTGTTGAATGGGAATAGATACATAAATAATGTTCAAATCTATATTCAATTATTTTGATATTTCGATCTTAGAAATTGACCCAAACTTCGTGGAAGGTAGATCTTTGTGGCATTCGTTGAATTTTCCCAGATCACCAGGTTCGGGTAGTTTTTTTTTAATATAAAAAAAATTCATTTATCATTTCTGTAATAATTGAAATGTTCGCGATTTTACGTTTCAATTTTTTATATTTTCTCTGCAGAATATTTCGATATCTATCATCCAGTGTTGTTAAAAAGTGCCGCAATATATTTTTTTTTCGAAAACAGTTGGAGCGTCACTATTTTTCGGAACTCATGAGCGGGAGCTAGCTCCTTTTTTGGTATAGAGCGGAGGAGTGCCGTTCCTCCAGCCCTTTAATTTTATTTTATAAATTGTTTGAAAAATTATAAATCTAATTAAATTTATGAAACTCATTAATTCTATTAAATCTTTAGCCGAGTTTATTCTCGCTTTTTTAAACTCAAATTATTAATGATAAGGCAGGCAGACGATATTCTCTTTATTAACAGTTATGGAACATATTAAAAAGGATTGAACAAAATCTACATTTCTATTTTACAAGAAATATTTTTCTCTCTTTTAAAAAGGTTGGTATATTTTATAATGAAGGTTCTGAAATGGATGAAGATTTTCAACTATGGGTATCGATAATATCCTGATTGATAAAGGATAACTTTAAAATTTATAACATTCACATTGGGCCTGCCACGATACCAATTTAGTGGTCACAATTGAAGCGGTGAAAACTTTGGAAAATAAATGATTTAAAATTATATCCCAAAGCTCGTTTCAATTGGCAGTATTTATGGAATAAGCAAAATATAATATATCCACAAATATGGCTGATAATGTAATAAATGACCAAATGCCACAAGATGGGATCTATATTTTGAATCCAAGATATTGGTAGATAAAATACTAAGCCAAAAAATGCAATATCGTGATAAAATGGGATTTATACGCTTAAACTTTCAGGAGTGTAAATTTATTTAGCCGAATAAATATTAATCGATTTTTTTTTGAAAGGGGTAAATTTTTGGTTATGGAGCATTGTTGAAGATGAGTTTTATATGAATATGGTTTTTTTTAACTCTAACTAATACTAGAATCACTTCAAAATTAAATGATTTTGCAGATTTGAGTTTTGCCAGTCTTTTGTGAAGTCTCTTTTACGCGGCATTGAGAAAAAATTTATAATTTTATAAAAAAAATTGTTTTTTATTCATTGAGTTTATTATTAAAAAAGTAATTTAAATAAAAGGTCATATAAAAAACAATTAACAATTATAAAAATATAGCTCATATATATATATAAATTTAAAACAAACAACTGAATAAAAATTAAATTTAAAAAAACAACATCGATCTTTTTTGTTGCTTTAGCATAAGTGATTAGGCTCTATATTCTGGATGTTTTCCCTTTTAAAATTTTTAGAGGATGGTCTCATTTGGAATCGGACAGTGAATTACAATTAATATATTTAGAAGAAAGAAATATATAGCAGCCAAGAAGAAACGAAATAGCTATAAAAAGTTCTTCATTAATAAAAAGAAGACCGAGATTTTTGCGATAGCTGTCAGCTATTCGTAGTCTGATTTAGAATTCAGAATTGCTTGGCTGGGAATCTATTATAATTAATTACTCGATAGTAAATAATCAACGGATTGAGACACTGAAGGGTAGATGTGGATCTGCTAACACCACGGTGATATTGCTCACTCAGATTCGCTTTCTAGGTCAAAATCATGACTAGTAGGGATTAAACTTGAAATAATTTTATTGCATATTTTCAACTGTTTATAATGATGATAATATCAATTGCTACAATTATCCATCCTTCATTTAAAATGAATTGGGAATAGAAAGGCAGGCATCACTTCTGGTCATGATCTTGATCTAGAAAGCGCTTTTCACACTTGGATCAGCAATTGTCAACCTGGCATTAACAGAGCCACATTCATTCATTAGAAAACTTGGGATATTCCTCAAGTGTCTCACACCATTAATTATCTCTTATTGAGTGTGATGCATTAGGACAATGTTCCAGCCAAGATATTCTGAATACTAGATGGAGCTACGAATGACTGTCGATATTTCAATTCAAAATCTTCGCCTTCTTCTCACGAATGAATAACTTCGTATAGTTATTTCGCTAGTCTTGATTATGATATATCGTTCTCTTCTAAATGTATTACGTTCTTTATCATTTGGATACCATCCTTTATATTGTAGATATTCTAAAGGCCACCTCCCTCGGCATACAAACATCCAAATGCCCTAGAATCCAATTATTTATGCTAAAGCAACAGATGACCTGGTATCAGCCTAGTACCTTAGTCTTCCAGTTGCTTAAGATTGCATATGCATCGATTTTTCGGCACGAACCAACATAGCAATTAATTCGGCAAAATCCTGAAAATAAACTAATATTCAGACATCACTAACGTATTTATCCCACTTGTTTTCAATGCTCTTGGCGTTTTTAATTCCTAATTTATCAAATTATTAGGGAGATAATTAAGACAAATAAGTAGCGATCGAATGAATCCTTCTATTCCCAACAAGCCATTACGGTGGCTATTAATTAACCTAATTGCATTGTTATTCATGATTTTATATAGCAATGCTAGTAGACTGATCTCTTAATTTTTATTTGATTTTTATCCAGTTGTTTTTAAATTTGTATATGTGTGTCTACTATATTGTAATCGTTAATTATTTTTTATATTACCTTTGTAAATTCGTTTTTTAATAATAAACTCAATAAATAAATAATATATAAATATGATTTTGTTTATTGTACTTTATATTATTAAAATTTGAAACGAGGGGCTATCAAGAAACAGTCCTTTTTTAAATTTTGAGCGGGGGCGCGCTTCTTTTAAAAACTTAGTAGCAGGAGCTAGCTCTATTTGAAATGGTAGGAGCGGGAGCGGTTACAACTTCGCAATCATCACATAACACTATCATCTTTCATTAAAATTTTTACTAAATGTAACTACAAAAAATTAACAGTTATGGTACTAGAATTTTTATAAATATTTAAGGCCAGTGGTCCACTAAGGTCTCCCTTTAGTGGTGTTGTTAAACGGCTCATTTTGAGCCTATTTTTTTAAACGGCTAACTTAATATTTTAGCCAGAAAAATATTGCCTAAGCCTTGAGAATTCGATAACATATGCCTAGACCTTTGTTCCTTCTATAAGCAAAATCTTTAGGCTTGCGTAATATTTTTCTGGATACAATATTGAATCAGCCGTTTTTAAAAAAAGGCTCAAAACAACAAGCCTTTTAACAACACTACCCTTTAGTTCTTTGAAATCAAGACTTATGTCTAGATTGTACTAAGCCCAATAACATCATTTAATGCTTACCTTGACTGAGGATTCATTTGTTAGAAAGCTTTATTAAACGTTGTTGAAATACAAATCAGCTGATGACTCGCCATTTTGGTTTTGGATTTAATTTTTTTTTGAATATAATTTATAAATGATACTTCATTTTTTTTTAAACTTCATAAAATTTTTAGTAGTAAATTGTTTATACGGAAAACCAAAATTGTTTACTACCCCTTTTAAACGCCGAGAAAAATACGTTAACTATTGAAGCGCGAGTTAGTTTATTAGGCTTTCCTTCAAAAAAAACCTCGAGACTGAGAGTGATAGTTTGCAGAAATTACCAAATTATAGCTCTTGCCTTCACTAATTATAAAATTTTTTTTAAAAAGATTCACCTATTTTTATTAATATATCAATTTATAAGGAAAGGATTGTATCATACCAGGCTACTTAATATCCAGACTATACCGACTTTTGCAAAAATGGTTTCTCGAATTGCCCGACACCTCGTACTTGGTCCGAAAACGACCTAAACAGAGTAGTCTCGATAAAGACCAGTTTTTAATAAAACAAAACGCCATTTTTATTGGTTTTATGCTGATGCGAATATTTAGGCTAGGTGTTCTTATGAAATCCTTGGAGATGATAGAGATAATTCAGGCTACGAAAAGGCAAAGCGGCGATGCATCGAGGAAAAAACAGCTGGAAAAGGTTAGGGATAATGGTAAAGAAATAGTTGATTGAATTGATATCGAATTTAATAAGGAGGTAATGAAGGAGCGAAGTCTTAAGAAAATATTATTGTGTTAAACTAATATAGAACATTATTCATATTAAGATTAGAATATATTTTATGAATAACATTGATCTAGATGATGATTTAAACGCGCAACGGTTGCTTCTACAGACACATACCAAATTAGTTGCTCTAAAAAACGATATCGAAGATCACATTTTTAGGAGCGGCTTTATAGCCAAAATGTTTCTACGACTCGAACGAGATGTTAAGTTTCTAGAACCCGAACCAGAGGTTAAATTACTAGGACCCGAACCAGAAGCTGTTAAAGGTTCATCCGTTGAGGAGGATATCATTAATTATCGACTAATCACCGAAAGTGAAGCACGCGTTAAGAACTTTGGGGATAGCGCCAAACTTAGTTCCGACTCTCCTAACTCCTGGAAAATATTATGTATGAATTGCCAGAATTTTAATAGCTGGTCTGGCCTAACCTTGCTAAACTGGCAAGAATGGATTATGTGCCTAATACCTAATTTTAATTCCTTTTCCGTGAACCCATCCTTTGACGAAAATACTCATTTTAACGTTGTTGATATACTAAATACTCATGACAATAATAACAGCAATAACCCAAACGACGTATTAGCAAATGTTAACGAAACTCAAGCAAACTGTAGTGATCGTTTAATAGAAATCATGGCCAATTTTGATGACGTAATTATTTTCCCCGTCCATTATTTGTTTGATTTTATTAAAAATCATTTTTTTCATGTGATCTTTAATCAAATTTTCAAATTAACAGATTTGAAAATTTAATTAAACGCTCTAGAATTATTTAAGGATTGGTATATTTTAGAAATATTTATTTGTTGCTCAATAAGAATTAATATATATCACGTGATTGTTTTTTTTATAATTTTGAATACCAACTTCATTTATATATATATTTTTTTTTCCCAAACAAAAAAAGATGGGTATCCCAGTGAATGCTACTTACATATGTGTGCTCAAAAAATATTTGACCAATCAAATTACCCGTTTTGACGAAATTCAACTCCATTGGCAAGAAATGGACCTCACTCTCGAACTCTTTCATTCTTCACTCAGATTACTTAGTAGGGTCGACCCCGATCCTGATTGCTACTTGTCGAGTAGCCTTACTGGCCAAATTGAGGAACTGATTGACCTATGTCTCGCGCTTATATCTAAATTCCCCGGCTTCTATCCAAACATCGACCCTAATAACCATACTATATCTAAAAATTGCCTTTCTGATATTGATGCTTCTAATGATATTTATAATGTTGACAATTCAGAATTGGACCACATGTTAACGCAAAAGAAGAACTGGTGGATTTTCCTGGAGGATTTGAAATCTCGTTGTTCTTATTTATCTGTTGGGCGTCTAAAGAGTACATTATGCCAAGGCGGTGGAAAGCGTGTCCTAACGCCTTTCCTTGCTCTTTACCAGGCTCTTAAATGCTTCGAGAAGGAATGCGGAACTTATTCGAATTTTATTGATAATGATATTTATTTTAATACTAAAGCCGATTTTACTTCTGCTAATGCTGATGCTAATAAGGCAGATAATTTTTGCGAAAGGGGGCTCAATTTAGAAGAAATATTGAGTAAAGCGGAAGCAAGCCTTTTTAATTACGCGAAAGATGATAAAAAAGAAGATGAAGGAAATGGCGATAAAGGAAATATTAATAATGATATTGATGTGCCAAATAATGCTAAGGATACCGAGTGCGTGGAAGTGGTAAAAATGGACATTGATAAACTGAGGTTGAAAACCCTTTTTTATAAATCGATTAATCAAGATTTTACCCATAATAACATTAAACAATGACGTTGAATTTAACCACAGAAATGGAAAAGGTTGCTTCTATTCTGGCAAAATGCATAAGTTTAGATATTATTAATTTTTAAAAATTGGCTATGTTGACCTTTTTGACAGCACCCCAAAACAACTGTTATTTCATTGTCGAAATTTCTTTTAATTCATATTATAATTCTGATAATATAATCTACCAATATTTTTGAGTGTTTTGATTTTTCTAAAATATCATTTTAGGCATGGTTTTTTTTATATTTGGAAAAATATTTTATATCTCGGTTAAATTATTCACAATGTTATATTTTTTTAGATAGTGTAATACGGTTTAAAACTAAGCTTATTACTACCTTGCGAAATTAGAATATTAATTAATAAACGAGATTTTGTCAGCCATTTTATAAAAATAACCAGGGAATGGCGAACACAGGCCTGATGTGCATGCTTCTACTTTCAGCATTATATGATTTTGTACATCTAATTTTTCTTTACCTAAGAATCCTTGACGGATCGGATCTAGTTTTGATAAATAACCAATTCTGCCTCTATGTTGTATGGCGCATTATAAAGCATTCTGGCCCTGAATTCACAATTAGCGTGAGTTTGCGGCGGAATTACGAAAAATGTAATAAACATAATAATTTTACATTCATTTTGTATACTTCTCCTCGAATTCGCTCTAACTGTGATCTCAGGGTGACGAGGCATTAGAATGCTGTAAAATAAAAAAAAAATTACTTTGGCATTACTTGTTTTTCTCATTAAGGTTTAGTTTTCCCCGATTTTGAAATATTTTTGAATCATAATTTATTCTTTTCCCTTTATTTATTAATAGATATAGAAGTAAAGTAATTCAAAACTCATTGTATTTTGAATCGAGTTATATTTACTTGATACGAATAATGACTCATATTAAGATTCAATCCTAAACATGATGTTTCCAAAACATTTGAGTGCACTAATTCTAAAGCAAACTAATATGTAACGACTAAATATTATGCATTTTAGTTTAATCTTCTATGCATTTGGTAAGCAGTAAAAAAAAAAATTTATAGCAAAATAGGTAAATTACTAAAATTCATATCAAGATTCAAGATAGAACTAAGAATTTAGAAGCACTAAAGCAATTATGACGTAGGAAATTAAATAAACGAAATATCTTTAAAAAATGACTATCATCATGATAAAAAAATTATTTGCGTATCTCAAAATATGAGACTTGATGTCTCTCGATGTAGCCTTGATACTTTAATAATTTAGTAATAGTAGCATTAAGAAGTAGTTAAATGGAATCGTTGCATCTATAGAAGATGTAATATCAAAATAGGATGGATTAGATACTATAAATTGAAACCGATTACAGTTGAAGACTCTCGAGTGCTAAGGTAATGATTGGTTAATAAAGTAATACCAATATACTGTGTTCACTTTTATTTTACTTTTGGAAACAGAAAAGGTGAAACGTTCATTCTATACGAATTTTAGCCTCTTCAGAAAATTAAGAAAGGAATTTTATCAATTTAAAAGAAATGAACAATCGTCTAAATATCACATTAACACAAAATTTTTCCTAAAAATATTTTACATTAGGGGGTAGGGTCATACCCAAACTTGATGGTCCTTTTTCGAGCTATCTTTACAATATTTACAGATTATATTTTTATTAAAATCAAAGATTCTAAAGCTCATATAATTAGGGCGTTTTTTTCATAATTTTCATAAATTTTTAAACCTCAAAAATATGCCGATATTTTTTTTACCGCATTCTAATGCCACTTCAGTCTGAAAATATTTTTGGTTTGATGATGATTACGACCTGCCAACAGATGCTTAATACATTGTTCCTTAACGACATTAAAGGCAGGATTGATTGTCAATCAAAATTATGATTGATCTCTCAAAAATTGTATGTATCTCCAATATATAGGGGGAGATATAATAATTAAAGCCAAGGCCTGCAAGCCAGGCCCATTTTTGCTTTTCTCAGACCGATTCTAATGAGTAAAATAAGGTTTCTTCTGACATCATCCATGTTTAAAAAGCTAAATTTAACACTCGTGTCTTAGCCAACCCGGGTTGGGCGCGCTTTTTATTTTATCAAATTGTCTTTAGAAGTGTCTAGTGTTGTTAAACGGCTCGTTTTGAGCCGATTTTTAACCAGAAAAATATTGCCTAAGCCTCAAGATTTCGATAATATATGCCTAGACCATTGTTCCTTCTATGAGCAAAATCTTCAGGCTTAGGTAATATTTTTCTGAATGAATTATTGAGTTAGCCGTTTTTAAAAATCGGCTCAAAATGAGCCGTTTAACAACACTAGAAGTGTCTAATAAAAAGCTGCTCAATTTTTGAGGATTTTAATGTTAAAGGAAGAAAGAGAAAAAAAAATGCAAGAAAGAAACACATTTAGCTTTATTTTCATATGTAAAAAAAATTAATCTAATTTATTTAAAAATATTTCCTTCATTTTCATTCTCGTTATTTAATTCAGTCATTCATTCATAAAAATAATTAGTGTGGAATTGAAAGTTGATTCAAAGGAGATGACTGAGAACGAGGAAAATCTTGATAAACGGTTAGAATGGTTAGATCATATATCCGAATGGGATTTGATGCCACTCTCCCTTAAATACTTGGAAATGTGCCACGATATGTTTGCCAGGTATATACATACTATCGTGATTTAAAATAAATTATGAGTGGATTATATACTAATTACTTTTAATCTTGTATTTTGCTTTCTTTCTTTTTATTTTGATTAAAAGCTCTTAAAATCTAATATACGATGTTTTCTTAAGCCACCACATATGCACAATGGAAAATGGAGCTTTCTTGAAATTTTATGTCTCCCAGTTATACAGCGAGGCCTTAAAGGTGATAGCTCAAATACACAAGTGGGAACGCATAATCACCGAAGACGATGAAAGACCGAAGAATTTTTATGCTAATAGCGTTAAATGCATTTCTATTTTCGATAAATTAGAGGATCTCAAGGAAGAGCTGAGTTCCAAAATGGAGCAGGCCTACTTTTGTATGTACGATTTTACATGCAAAAAGTGGAAAAACAACAGAGCCTTGGTGGATCACAAGAGTTACTTTACTAAAGTAACGTTTTATAATCAAATATCTATGATATTTATTAAGACATCTTTTTTGTTCTTGATTTTTTAATTATTATTTTTTGTTGGTTGCTTACTTTTAAGAAATAGATTCTTTTTAATTTTGGATGAGTAATTTTTGACTTAGAGCATAATAAATAATTATTTTTTTAATTTTAAAAAAAGGTCAAATTTAGCTTGGACCAAGCCCCCACCCTGTTTAATTTTCTCAAACCTTCCAAATTACCGACTTTTCACACCAAAGCTAACACCATCAATTCCGAGATCAAAGATTTGCTGGAATATATCCTTAAATTCTGTCACGAATCATACAACAATACTAAAGCAGTAAATAGGGATGGATATTTTCTGGAAGGAGAAAGCAATATCCTGTTAACAGATATAAATGATAGGAACGATGATTATAAGGCTATGAAGAAATATCTAGAAACCGGGGAACTCTTTAGAATGGAAGGTATTCCTAATATTATTTTATTTTTTCAAGATTTAAATTTTTAATTATTTTATAGATGACGAACCCATCGCTAAATGTGATATAAACTTCTTAGATTCACCCATTAGCAGTCCATTATTGATATCAAGACTAAGGTCCTTGATTCATTTCATACTTAATGGTGAAGATATATTGCTAGAAGAAGATGGAGATAAATTGATAGATAACGGAATTAAGACTTCTTTGATGGAGAGTATTTTTAAGGAAATGTATTACTTGCTAGCCGATTACTACTTCAAGAATATGTACACGTGTAAAGCCCTGAAATATTATTTGTTAGACCTGTGTTATCAAAATGCCACAATGGATAGGTTCGACTCATGGGCAGGGATAGCTCTAGTCAGGAGCAGCTTGTTCGAACATTCTCTGAGAACGGTTATTAATTTTTAAAACTTATAATTTAATATATTGCATTGCAATATATCCAACATTTTTAAAGTCATCCTTGATTTGTGATAATTAGAATGCGATTTCACCTCTAAACCCACAATTTCAAATGACACTTTTTTAATAAATCTATCTATTTATATTTAAAATATGCATTCATCATTCTACAGATAAACATCAACTTTGAAAGCTTTCCCCATAGCAGCCATTACAAAGGCACTCTGGCCTGTTTCGACCGAGCCCTTAAAAGTCATGAACATTTTTCTAATTACGATACTGAGAGTATTCATGCCAGAACCTCGCTGTGGGTCGAGAAAGGTGCCCTGGCTTACATGCTTAGTTCTACTGCCTCTAGGAAATTGAAAAGAGTAAAGACCTTTAAAATAAAGAAAGAAAAGAAAAAAGGGAAGGAAGGAACATTAAAAATGAAAATAAAAAAAATAAAATAGGTTTTAAATTGTTATGGTATTTTTTTAAATAAACAATAGGACTTCTTATTCGGACTTTCTGACCAGGAAAAGGAGTCTTTGATCAATTTTCAGGAGGAAATGCTAAAAATTTCAAAGTTCTGTTACGAATCAGCGTCACTTATAACAGGTTATTTTTTTTTTGATCCAAATTTTATTATTAGAACCATAATAATAAATCTATATAAATTAAGATAAAAATTTTTCCTTGCTGTAACATCTTCGCCGATTTTTTTTATGATGTTCCTTTAAGGTTATCCTTTGAGCGTTTTAGGCTTTCTTTCAAAAATAATCCGATCACTCATTTATTTTCCTCTCCCTCCAGGGAATTCTGCGCCCCCTCCAAATATAATAACAATTTTGCCCTCTGACACACCCTTCTAAAATTTAGTTCCTCTACCCCCCTTCTTCTAAATTTTATCAAATGGTCCTCATAAAAATTATTTGTTACATCTCATTTTAAAGACTCTTAGCAATTACGGAATAATGGGGACCTGATCCTGCTAATTGGAATATTTATTTTAAAATTTTCATTAATCTTAAAATAATATTTATTTTCATAAACACTCTTGCAATGCCAGGGAATAATTTATATTTTTATTATATGATTAATGTTTATTCATTATATAATATCAATAATAAAAAGGCTTTTTATTTCAAATCATATCAAAATATTCTTCAAAATGATCAGATAATGTCAAATAAAATATATAAGTGTCTTTTATATGTAAATAATATAAGAAATATTTAACAAATTAAAATATTTCTTTTTATCTTAACAAAAAATCCCCTTAAGGTCAACTGACCAACTAAACGATAAATAATATTAATTGGAAGTTAAATTATATCATGAAATTATAACGATTTAAGAGTTATTCGATTAAGATTAAACATAATATTACAAAACACAAATATTGCTCTCAAACAGATAGCAATCAAGAAAGATGGCTCTACTCCTACATGCTGGGTAAGATAGGCGAGAAAACTGCCAAACAGGATCCCGAAGTATACCTGAAGCATTACCAGGAATCCATGGGTTACTTGCACCGTTTGGGATGTTATTATCCCAAGAAAATCAATTTTCACTCACCCCAGTTCTTGTCCATAGAGATTTTAGAAGTTTTTTTTAAAACTTTTATCGAATATATTATATAATATTATACGATATATCATTCGATGATTTGACTGTTATTAAATGTCCCCTTCTTCGATATTTCTCATTTAAAATTAAATTTTTGGCGGGATAATAATTTTAACTCGTGATTGGATGACAAATCTTTAAATAGGAGGTTGTAGTATAATCATTAACTTCAATTTATGCCCCGAAAGTGGCGAAATTTTATATTATTACATTTTTAGGGGTTATTTGGAATCGTGAGCTTATAGCCTATAGAACATGACTAAAATAAACTGGGCTATCCCTAAATAATGGCGGTGTAAGTAAGAAAAGGGGAATATGCGAGGTAAGTTAAAAATTTTTGGTTACATTTATCTTGTGGAAGTAATATGTAGCTAATTTAAGGTAATTATTTGTGAATCTGATTGTCAGAAAGATTACGAATACTTAACTTTATTTTATTACACTAATACTCTTATTCTAAAAAAAACTAAATTAACATTCTTCATTGACCTTTTTTTGTTGGTTATTACCCTCATTAATCTACATTTTTTTATTCTCACAATTATAGTTTTATAGTACAATATTTAAGCTATGGTAACCTTCCAAAATTTAACATATATATAATTTATATATTTTTTTTTATTCTCCCATCAAACAGCTATTTTACAGAATCCACGCGTCTATCTTAAAATACCTAGAAATCAATAAATATTTTAAGGATAGTTCCTATGGAGATGAGTTGGCGATTATTTTTAAAATTCTGAATCGAAATTTGGATAAGGTTTGGTGCTCACCCTTCATTGTCGCTATTTATGACCGGGGCAATATGGATTCTACCGTTAATATGGGTACACCACTCAACGAAGCGGATAAAGGGCCCTACACTCAATTCTCTGCTTGTCAGCAAACCAGTGATAATATTTTAAACCATAAGCAGTCAAAAAGAATGAGAACTGGCGAATTTAGGAGACATTCTGAAACCAAAAATTCGTATATACTAATTTTTTTTATGATTTAGATGAGAGATTTTGTAGATTGTAAAGTATGTAAGTAACGTCTGTTATTTTTATGCATAAAATAATAAAATATATATATATATAATATAAATTGCTAAAATTCTGATCTTTCTAAAGCGAAAAAGTATAGAATTTTTTTTAAATAATTAATTAAACATAAGCTTTTTCGACGAACAAAGTTATTGCCCACCTGAGAATATTTTTACCACAGATTATGATTCAAAGAAATGGGATCCTGAAAATGGTAACAGTTATTTTTTATTACTATTCCCCCCCCCCTTATAGCTGATTGGCTTGTTACGAACCATGTTTAATTCCTTTTAATCCTCAAAAAATAATTATCTTACGAAGTAGAGGTTGACCCCAAGCCCGGTAGCAACAAAATTCTGTCATGCCGGGCTAGGCAACTTTTGCAAAATTTTTTTTTAGGAGGGGCCTAAATAAATTTTGAACTTTAAGAATTAGGCAAATTTATGTCGTTTTCATTCATCAAAAATTATTAAGGGTCAGGCTGAAGAAAACATTTCAAAAATTTACCCGCGGATCGCGTCAATCTCATTTACCAATTTTACTTTAATATCAATTTCCCAATATATTTATTCTTCTTACTTTGTAGTTCGAGTTTATTCGCACTTTTATTTACATAATTCGTTTATCATCTTTTCTTACGTGTAACTGAATTGTTAAATTATGAAATGCACTTTTATTTTCTTTTAATTCTCCGGTTAATGGAGGTTTTCCAGATTTACTCGGGTAGTTTCCCCTATGATCCTCTTTCGTCACGGTTGGGCATCTATTTGTAAGATCCATTTTTCTCATCTTCAACGTAGCGGGGAAGTGGCAATGTCTCCAAACGGCCTATGGAGATTTAAATGATTCCCTTTGATTTGGGTTTAGAATATGATCCCGTCTCCTTGACGGGATGTAAAAGTCACATAAATGGGTTGATGTCAGGAAGGGCATCCGATTGTTAAGAAAAGCTACTACAAATTCTCTAATGATTAAAACCAAATATATTTTTATAATAAATATAAATTAAAACTGTTTGTGGTCAAGCTCGTCTCGGAGAAAAACATGACAAAATGGATACGTGCGTCTCAATAATAATCGAAAAATGTTTGAGAGGATTGAAGGTGTGCCTAAGCCGATTTCAACAGCATTACAAATCCTTCTACAGGCTTTCATATCACTACTTCACGTTTGATCCCATTAATAAAGTACAAAATATCTACCCTTTTTTAAATGAAAACTCTAAATTAACAATTTTTTGAAATTAATGTATATAAATAACTTTCCTCGTTTTTAATTACTAGAAATTTTGTCGAAATTTTTACGGATTAATTAATATAATATGTATTATTAGAACCCTGCAAGGGTTTAGTGTTGTTAGACGGCTCGATTTTTTAAAAAGGTCTAGCCCATTATGTTATTCAAAAAAAAACATTACTCGTGTCAGGAAATTTAGCTCATATATGGTACAAAGATTTGGATATTTATTAACGAAATCTCGAGGCTCGTGTAATATTATTTTGGCTAAAATCTTAATTTAAAATTATTCTAAATCTAACCACAATACTATGGGTCAGACCATTCATTTATTTTTCAATATCCCCGAGCAGACCTAGTCATTTTGCTAAGGGAGGGGGGGGGGGCTGAAGCAGTATTAAGAAGGTCTTTCCCCATACATTTTATTGGATGGCTTTATGGCCGTGGAACCTTTGGCGTTTTCTTTTAAAATTATAAATTATTGTTTAATAGTTTTCATATTATAATCTATTTTCTGGGGAAAGGAGGGGTCGGGATGGGAGTGTATGGGGATACTACACTTATATTTATGGAAGAGGACCTTTACAAAAAAAAAATTTATTTTTCATATATCCAAAGCTAAGATTACTTATTTTCCTCGAGCATTAATAATTTTCCCGCTTTTTTCGAAGATTTAAAATAAAAAAAATTATCATCCAATTCCTTTTATATTTTTATTTAAAAAAGTTTAACATAGAATTAGCCCGAAAACTCATGGTAGATCCCTACGTTGATTTAGAATTTCCTCTTAAGATATCTTCAAATTGGAGACAAAACTTCAATGAAGAACGATCGAGCAATGCCGCCACTATTGCTAAGGAAACCAATTCTACCACAACGCAAATCGGATCTGAATTCTTGCCTATCACTATGGAATATTCGGAAATGGCAAATAAAAGGGTTGTTACTTCATCAAATTCTAACGACAACATGCAAACTTTAAACTTAGCAGATATTCAGCCGAAGGTTCTAGAACCAGAATTTAAATCAAAGACAGTAGAATCTTCGATAGCTAAAGCTCTGCTAGAACCTAATATAGACGAGCAAGTCGTTGTTCCACTAATTAATGATAGTTTTTCTGAAGAAAGGGGAACGTTATTTAGGGCTTTTGATGGTCTCCCTAATCAGATCAATGATATAAAAACAAATTTAGCTTATTCATCTTCACATATCTCAAATATAATTTATCGTCATGAAACTGACAGTATCCCTTTACTCTTTAATAATGTTCCCAACCTGGACATTAAGGCAATGACCAGTTCTACCACATCACCATACCCATTTGTTCTAGATACACCCTTATTATTCTCACCACCCAAAACCGCCTCCACAAACGTATTTGCGTCTTTAAATCAGAATTCTAAAATAACGGATACGTTTCCCAACTTATTATCACTATTCACAAATGTATCGCCAGTGTTAACTGATAACAAATTTAATTACCTTGACTCTACTCACCTTGCAACATATAGTAAAAGTAACTCAGGAATCCAACCTAACGACAATTTCCTTTCTACCAATCCACTAACGTTACAATCCGAATCGCTGAACGATACAAATTTTCCATTCAATCATGACTCTGGCACACAACTTTGTTCCAATTCCTACAATAATAATACTCAGATTGATGTAGTCATAGCCGATGATAAAAATGCCGTGAGCCTTCCTAACTTAGATAAACCTAACCAATGTCTCCATAATACTGATTACGAAGCATTATTTCTTGCTAATACTTCCACACCGCCGTTCGATGCGCCATTAGAGGAAAATTATAATTGCTCGAGCGTTTTCTCAGTCCCTAACTTCATTCCTGATTTTAACCTAAATATGCTTAACTCTGACATACGAATATCTACATTGCTAACAGAGCCAAACATAATTCCTTCTTATTCTAACTCAACTATCCAATTTTTGCCCAGGATTTCCAATCAGTTAGATATTTTGACTACGAATCATAATTTTATTAGTTATAACAATAATTCTCTCTCCACGCATAATTTGATCACTCCTGCGGTATCTTTATTAACACAAACACAGCCAAATGAGCTTGCTACCGGCTCTATCTCATCTATATTCGAACCTTCACCTATTCTTCTCCCATATTTAGAAGCTGAGATAACCGATCCTAATTTGAATAACCCGAATAGTTCTCCCTCTTATCTTAACCCTTGGACTGAGATTTTATCCACTCCTTTACAAACACCGCCAATTAATGTTCCTTCCAACTCCTTTATTACTCCTCTCGAAGTAGGTCAAATGACCAACCCAAACACTCCCATTCCTAATTTAGGTATCGTCAAATTTCGCGTTCATTCACTTTTCGGTGACCGAACTAAAAAGTGTAACTCGCCCCAAATCTTCAACACTATTTGGAGACTACCGGTGGAAGAAAGTGATAGACCTGGAAGTTTTGCAGGTTCCACTTTGTCTATTAATAATTTTTCATTGTGTTGACGAACTTCTTTTCATTAATTATATTATTTTGCAAAAATATTTAGACAGATAATATTTTTTTATTACTTTGTAGGTCACGTGTTTAGATCTGCCGTTCTTTTGGCACGAATCAGTTTGCTGACTCGCGATATCAACACACTTTATCGATTAATCAGGCAAACCAAAAAATCACCGGAACGTGATAAGTAAAATATATAATGGTAGGGTGGGGGCTGGGTATGGTAGGGTATAAGTTTTTTCTTATTTATAGTCATTCTTATTAATACTATATCGTCGGCCTAGAATTGGAGTGCTCCACTTGCGCAAATGTTTAAAATCAAATATATAAACACCTTATTGGTCAATTTTGACAGAGCTATAATTTTGGCAAAAAAATAAATATTTTTTTAATCTAGATTTTATTTTTATATATATTGGGAATAAATAAGTTGTTATCCACTTCTACCTCAAAAATTTTGTAAATTTCGAGTTGAGCACTCCAATTCTAGACCGATGATATGGAACAGACTTGTGATGCACTAAGGTAGTCTGATGAATGATTTAATTGGCACTTTGCAAAAAAATTTATATAAATGGCACAAGTTGATAATCGTATTTTTAATGCGTGTAGTTTATTAAGATACCTAAACAATTAATACTCATTCGTAGATTTTTTTAAAAATATCGATCCCTTATGCAGCTAAACTTAAACCTCAAAAACTCGCCAGTTATATATTTTTTTTTATCTTTACATTATATATGTAATGAATATTTCTTTTATGGGTGCTGTCATATTTTATGAATTGGATAATTTATTATGCGCAATTAGCGGAAATAATATTCTTGTTTGTTCGATTTTATTATTATTATTATTAATAAAAGTTATAAACTAATTTTGTTATTTTAGAAAATACATATACGAAAATGAGAGGATATACTTGAACGAGATGTGTTTGAAATATTTGGAAAAATTATCATGAAAAATTAGAAATTATAGAAAATAATACTTTTAAATATTATTTATATTATGAATGCGTTATATTTTTGAATGTATAAAATATTATTTGCTGATATTGTCGAAAAATAAATGATTCTCGCATTAATACATTATGTGTCCAAATTTGATTTCGTAAATTTCAATGATAAATTTTATTTTTAAATAAAATTTTGACTTATTAAGAAAAAGAATTATGTTAAAAATGAAAATTATAGAACATACTTTTATAATTGTATATTTTAAATTAATATATAATAATAACTTTGACCATTTTAATACAGAAAATTTTTTTTAAATAGGTTTCCTAAGTATGTTTCAAATGCCCATGGATTTCATGTCCCAATAGGACATATACATAAATTAAATAATACAAGGTTGCCTTCTACACATTTGCCCTTCTATTTTTATAAACTAATGAGTTCATTGAACAAGAAAAGGTATCTTAAATGTTATCATTAATTTCTACAGTTTTTTTTTGCCTATAAATTTGTAGTTAAAATTATCATCACTCTTTTGGTAAGATTTAATATTTTTTTTGTTTGTAGATTTTCATATTATTAATAAAAAAAAATAAACGTCCTTACTAACGCCGTTACCTTTTTTGAAGAAAAGTAACGCCATTTTACCTTCTTCTAGAGGTAACGGTAACGGGTTTTTTGTGAGTAACGGTAACGCAAAACATTACTCGTTCTTTAAATTTTTTTATAAAAAAAATTGATAGTCTTATTAAGGAGAATAACCAATTTGACGATACTTGTGATAAATCTGAATTGCGTAAATTTTCAGATAATGAGAAGTCGTTCATATATAAATATTGTATGGTTAGTGTTAATTAAAAAATGTGATATGTATATATATATAATTTTATATATTATGGAACCCTTGCTCCTGCCATTTTTATTTTAGAACATTCGGGATATATTAACTATTATAATGTTAAAACTTTAAAAAATTACTTTAAATAATTTCAAGTTTTATAAGTCACTTAGAAATGTAATCCGGCAAGACATAGATAAAAGGTATAAAGTTGAAATATTGTTTATAATTTATATTTTGATTAATAAATCTTCTCAGTAGATTCGAACACATCTATAAAGATTAATATATATATATACCATCAGGAATAATTCATCCGCTACTAAAATTAGATTAGCCCTGAAATTATAGGTTAACGAAGGTAGAAAGAAACTTATTTACAGTTTGATAAAATATCTTGATAAAGAAAAGGTAGACTTTGATTCCTTTAAAAAATATCATACTTACCAGATTATTTCCTGATAAAGATATAAAAAAAAATTGATGAGGATCTGAATCAAGAATCTTGATGATCTAATGAGCTTTTTCTAAGGATTAATCATTGATTTTTAAGAAATTCCCCCAATTAAAATTTTTATTTTATATAACACCAATGTGTTTAGCACGGCGAAAGATATGTTGAGTACTCTCTTGTTTATCTGATCAAAATTTTGAAAATCAATTGTTAAATATAAAAAAAATTATTACAAAAATATCTTATCTTATAATATATTATTTTTGTATAATTTTATTTATAATATTTTTTAGGAAAAGATATTATTATAAAGAAATCTCATCTTATAATATATTATTTTTGTATAATTTTATTTATATTATATATAGGAAATTTTTATATATAATATTTAATTTTTCGAGTAACGAGTAAAGCGTTACTTTCTGAATAGCCACGTTTCTTTTTTGGAGAAATGTTTACAACACTAATTTTTATAATATACAATTTTTTTTTAAATTAAGACGCCATTTGATCGAATCGGAAAATTTTATAATATCGGCATATAACCGATATTTTGAAAAAGGGGAAATATCATTATGAGAACTTATGAAATAGGGAAAGTTAATTTTACAATGTATATAAATTATTGAAGTAGTTATTTTTAAAATACTTTGTTATAAAGTATATCGAATTCCCTTTATATGTTGTGAAACGGGTTATCATATTTAATTATTTTGTAAATGATGTATTATTAAGATTTAATAATTATTATTTATCTTTTAAGTATATATTTTGTATATAGATGAGATATCAATTCAATCAAAATTTTTTAGCCAACTTCAAAATTTGAATTTTAACAATAGAATCTTAAATTTGGCATTATGTACACCAAATAATAAAAATATATCTTGCAGAAAATTGTATCTATACTTAGTGAAATATTTGGGGCAAAGACCAAAGTCAATTCCGTTGGGGAGGGAGAGGGATCGGCAGAGTTAGTGGGTCCGGGATTTTCGGAGTGGTTAATAGGGGAACCGGATTTTGCGAGTATTTTGTTCATCGTACTAAACACTAAATGGCGGTCGTCACGGTCGTTTTGTAGGAAGTATATAAAATATTTTTACTCTCGGAGTTTATATAGAAAAATTAAGAATTTATTGAATTCCGAATGTTTGGCATATGGCAAATCACTATAAAATTCATTCCAAATTATAAACAATCAAATACGTAAAGAGTGGTATAATTAATTTCAATCCACGATTACATATTTTACACTTCTTCTATACTAAAATTTTGTTGACAAAAACTTTTGTTCGGGTCCTCAAAAAAAATCAATCAAGTATTTTAATATAGATTTTAGGTCTGAATAACATATAATAACAAGATTTATACTTTGCAATACCGTATAAAAAAGTAAAGAATGATAGACAAAGGGGATAAAATGACAAGCAATGTAGGGAAGCTTTGAAGAAGTACTGTTATAAAAAAATTTACGTGAAAAATATATAACAATGTATTATACAAAAAAATGTATAAATAAAAAAATCAACGGGATTTCGTTAAACACAACACTTAGGTATAATTTTTAAAAATTGTATTTGTTATAAGACGATGTATATATATCTAAATCCATTTGAAAAGTATCTTATAACAAGTCAGCTCATTTATAATAATTATAAATTATTATAATATAATTTGTGTTCTATAATATCAAGTACATAAAATTTTATAAATTTTATATAAATATTAGATAAGATCTAACAAGGGTTTCTCTTAAATATCATCGAAAATGGGAAGTTTCCATTCCATGTCAGGCGTTTCTCTAGCTTTTACAAAAAGGGCAAATTTATTTTCAATAAAGGTTTATAATTTTTTTATATCTCAAATATCAGTGCAAGAGAGTATGCGAATTGTATTTACAGAATCTTAACGAATTCAATGAAAAAAACAATTTTTATTTTAAAAAATAATTCAATTCCTATTTTTGGATCTCTTCCAGTTAGTGTTTGGCAGATATAGATTTGATATATATATAATATATTTGATAAAAATAGGAATATGATATTATTTATTTTAATTTATTGATTTTATTTTAATCAATCTCTTTGTGAGAAATGATATAGTTATCATTATAATTATTTTAATGAGAATACTATGATTGTCATATTATTATCGATTTTCTTTGTTTAAGAAAGTCAGGTGTTTTCGATAATGTAGGATGTGAAACTTGTAAATCTGTTAATGATTTAAAATTTACAAATGGGCGATTCGATTTAAATAGTATGTAGTATTCCATATTATCTTGGGTTCTGTATCTATGTATGTAACTATCTTTAATGAACACTATATGAATATAAAAATTATTTATAATATTTTTATTTAAACACGTAGACGGCTGATCAAAACTGATATATTTCCCTATTTCCATTGTATATTATTCTTTAAGACCCTATATATCATGGGATCCCATTAAAATAGATAAGGAAGGGCTCTTTTTTGAAATAAAAATGTGCAATTGCATTAATATACAGTCATTTTATACTTAGCTCAGTAATGGATATATCTAAGATGCACTTTGTTTCGTGATCGAATGAAAGAAAAACAATTAGAAATTTAGATTACTATACCTATCCCTACTTCTCAAAAATATAGAAATTAATCATTTTGAATTAATATTAAATTATTTATTTATATAAATTGCTATTACTATGATGAATTGATAAGTGGGGTTGTGTAAAAAATCTATTTTATAATGTTTATTTTGTGATAAAAAATAAAATATTAATACATTTTTTAAAATTTCTGGCGGGGAAACACTAATTTTTTTAAATCACTAGTAACCTTGAATGACAACCATGCCCCCTCCCCCGAACACATCCCTTATTATAAGCAACCTAATATTCAATAAAGATTTAAGAGAGGCCTCCAAATACGACTTTTTTTAGCATCACTTCTCTCTGTAATAAGCAGGTTTATTTTAAATTATGAATTGGTCTATCAAGTTTTCAGGAATAATTTAATGATAGACAGTAGTCGCATGATGGCTCGATTCCAATATTTTCAAGCTTAAATATAAGATTGTAACCTTCATCAGTTAACTTTAATAATTATGATCATAAATAATTATTATTTGGGATTTTATATGCTCTCTTTCTTTCAGAAAATTTAATTAATAAACTTGTAAAAAAAACTCTGTTGATTACCTAATTTCAAATTTTCATCTTTGGCCAGCCACCATTTATTGAACTTAAAGGATCAGGGATATAAATTTTGAGATGTTATTCCATCTAAAATTCTCAAACTTGAATTGTCTACAACGAATGTAACAAACAGTAGATTCCTTTCTCATTACCGTATAGATGAATAAAATGTCATTAGTGTTGTTAAAAGCCCGATTTGGGTAGATTTCAAAACGCCCCAATTAAGATTATAACCAAAAAAATATTATGTAAGTCTAAAATTTTGTTCATAGCTGGGCTTGGACACCTATTTGTCAAATCTCGATGCTTACCTAATATTTTTTGGCTAAAATCTTAATCGGCTGTTTTGAAAAATAAACCCAAATCGGGTCTTTATGAAACACTTAATGTCATGCCGTTAATCCCATTATGGCGCATCCGTTACATTTCGTAATCCAGATCGACAGACCCGATACTCGAAGTGTATTCATGTCATGACATCTCTTGCACTTTGATCGGTTGGCTTAACTACCTCATTGGAGTCCAATTAAATTTCCTGATAAAATCACGAGAAAACCAATGAAAGTTTATCTTTATAGTTAACAAACACCCCTTGCAATTTTAACTGATACTCTGCTCAAAATTTGAAGATCGTCAAATACACCGCTGATTCCTCAAATTACATTTTCGTATCAATCATATGCTCCACTATAACAATATATTGTGATTTAGCTAATAAAGACGTTGGCCACCAAGTCAGGAAAAATTCTTAGTATAGGGTGGGGGGGGGGGGTACCTTGAAGAATTTTACTAAGGCAGAGGAATTTAATAGCCATTTTTAAAACTAATTATGTTTGTTTTATTAATACGATCTCTCCTGATAATTATTTATATATATTCGTGCTAGAAATTTTTTTAAATTGTTTCTTTATTACTTATGTGTTACATTTTAAATTATATATAAACATAATTGTACTTGAATACAAACACCATTTTGATTCTTATTTATATTTAGAAATAAAAGGTATTTCTCATATTATATCCTAAATAATAACAAATAATACAAAAATTAATATTGGTTATCTAAAATTATTATCTTATCCTTTGAATGCCTATTAAAACTTAATTTTATCCTTTTTTTTATAATAATATAGACTGTAAACCCTTTATTAAATGTAGAATTCTTCTTTATTGCAATTCAAATTTTGCATCCATTTTTATATATATTTTTAATTTTCCTATTTTAAACATAACATAGAGTGAATATATATAATTCTCTAATAAGATAAATATATACTAAATTATTCCCATATCTAGTGCTATATAAAACAATATTAATAAAAAAATAATATATATTTACATTTTTTAAAAATTCTCGCACAAAATAAGGAATTTATCGACCTTTTGTCGTTTAAGCCTTAAAAGCGGCACTGATTGAAAGTGAAACAAAATTATCACATTTTTTTCGAAAATTACTGGATAAGGAATCATAATAGTATGCCTTTTTTTTAAAAAATGTTAAATTTATCTGCTGTTATTGATTTATAATAATTTAAATATTATAATTCTGACTTATTTAAAATTATATATTATACCTTTCATGAATTTTTATTTTAGTATTTATTTATTTTTTTATTTACAAAAGCCATTCGTAATATAACATTATGATAGATGGAAATCATTACGATGGTGGATACATGGAGCCAGAAGAAGAGTGGGAGAGAGAAGGTTTATTAGATCCTGCTTGGGAAAAACAACAAAGAAAGGTAATTTGTTTGTGTATATTATAATATTTTTCTTAAATAAATGATAATTCTAATATCAATGCAATTACATTTTTATGATATTTCTATATATCAATATTGTTTTAAGTATAGATATATATATATATCTGGTTGGTGTAATTTCTACCCTTTTATCTTGGAAGAATTTTTCTATAAATTGGAAATAATTTATAATTGAATTTTTTTGCAAACTCATTTTTGCCACAGTAATTAATATATATATAATTTTATTGATGGAGTGGTATATTTTTGTATTAATCAAATGGTCAAAACAGTTGTCATTTATAGCAATTTTTTTATATATAGATATTAATATTCAAAGAAAAATAATAATTTTATTTTAAATGTATTTTATAATCAATATTTAACAATAATTATAATTTACTTTTTTGCTTAAATTCTTGAGAAAAATGATAAAATTTTGCATTAAATTTGAAATCATCTATCAGTTGGTAATTTTAAGCCTGCAGATGTGTTATTAATACTTTTAAAATATATTGTAACCATCTGATACACATTTTAAGTTGGCCAAATGATACCAATACATTCTCCCCAAGTGTTATTGATATGTTACAACACATTAGAGCTAAACCTATTTACATTTCTTTTACCGATCCAATCTGTTATTTATCCCAAATCACTTGATAATAAAATTTTTATAATTCAAAATATTCACTTATCCACATTTTTAAAATTAAATAAAAAAGTTAGACTGTCCTGCTTCAACTTATTTCCAAACATCCGGCTGTTTAGGTGGCTATATAGCTTTAAACAGCCTAAAAAGTAAAAGAGAGAAAAAAAAGAAATGAAAAATAAAATAAGTGAAATAAACAAAAATAAATACGAGAAAAACAATGCCACCAAACACTTAAGACAAACCAAAATTGGGCTTTTAGTTCAAAAGCTGTTATCCTAAGCTTAACAGCAAATCAAAAATAAATTGAACCATGACACATCTACAGAGTTTTTTTAAATTCTTAAAATATGTCTTATCTGTAATTACATTTGTAGATAAAAGTTTGTATTTATGATGTCTTACTTTATTAAGTTATAGCCTTTAAAGAATAATAATATAGTTCCATATTATTTTTTTGATTTATATGCACTGTTTCAATTAAACATTAGATAAATACAAACACCCAAAAATTTTGGGTAATTTTCTTTTCTTAGTTTATTAAATGTCTAACTTCTTCTATCATTAAAAAAATCAAATATTATAAAAATTTATAGGTGGCCTAGTTATTTACTATCAGGCCTAATTTTTCAAGATTGGCCAGGCCCAAAATTATTTTAAAAAATTTTGCCAGCCTAGCCCGAACTTGAAATTTTTTTAAAAATTTTTCTGACCCAGCTCGAATGTTAAATTTTTTTTAAAATATTTACTGGCCCGGCCTGAATTTATTTAAATATATAAATTAATTTTTATAATTGCGTCTGGTTTCTATAATAAAATCAAATATTTTTATTTTACATAAAAAATTCAACATAAAATTGATAAATTTAGATATATTTAAAATTATTTCCAAGGCCCAGCCTGAACACAGCTTACTTTTGCAGATCTCTACTTCTTATTGTAAGAGTTATGAAGATTTTTTATGAAAAAGAGAAAGTTATTTCAAAAATAAAATAAATAATGTGTATAAAAATAAAACAAAAAAATATGTATAGAAATTTTTGACTTATATAATCAGTATTTGTTAAATTTTAAAAAATATCAGCTGATTCAATATTTTATTTAAAAGTCCAATATTGGCACCTATCCAATACCAATATGTAATTTTGTTGCAACCCTCCCTAACATCACTAATACTTTTTCAATACATATTTATTAATTAATAATTGACAAATACATCTTTATTAAAAATACAATACATATTATATAAAATATATATAATAATTTAATATCAATACTATTTGATTTAATAATAAAACAGTTTCAAATTTTATCAAGAAATACCTTCCTATGTTTGTTGGAAGAAATGATAGGGTTACATTTAATAAATAATTATTTATTATGAAAATTATTAAAAAATAGGAGACTCATTGTGCTATTTTAATATCAAGGTTTTGTTATATATTTAAATTATTTCACATCAAATAATTTTTAACTTAATATTTATTTAAAAAGGAGTGTTCTAATCCACAAATTTTTTCCTTATCTGACCTTTTGATATTCATGTCTATATGCAAAAAACAATAACTAAAAGGAAGAACTAATTATAAACCTATGAACAAATCAATAAGCCCCTTTAAATTTTTTATTTCTCGTGGCCAAGGTGATATTTATTGCATTATCACGAATGTTTACTTGTATTTTATTTTATATTCCCCCCCCCCCCAAAAAAAAATAGTTCAGAGTTCCTAGTCGTTTTGAAATTTTGCTCAACTTCACATAAAATTAACATATATATATATATATAACAAAAAATATTTTAACTTTAATTATTGATCATTGATTTGGTTTTTAATTAATAAATCATTATTTGACAATGCAAAAGTGTAAAAAAAAATTGCTTAGAATATATATGACAGGCCACAAATCTTTATCGAAATTAACCGAAAATTTCAAATTATGGCAGCTCATTTAAAATATGAGCAACTTTAATGGCTTATTGTTAATTCCTTTTCATGTAGAAAAAAAACATAAATAAATATCTCTTACTTGTATTTTTTTTGTAAACATTATTTACATACAATTAATTAAATTTTGATTCATTTTTTTTGTTATTAGGAAATTATGTATAAAATAAATATAATATATCCTATTTGGATATGGAATTCGCAATTCTTAGATTTTTAATCATTCACTGAAAAGCGATTTTAAAAATTTGATTTGACCGGAGATATATTTCGATATGTATATTGTTCCCAAACTGTGAATTTCAATCAATTTAGCTTGGAACTTTAATAAACTACTCTTTAATTTTTAGTGATTTTCATGTGAATTTTTCTTATATATTTTTTAAAAATAATTACACAAATATTAAAAAATTATCTGAAATTCATAGGGTTGATGATATACACATGCTGGAATAGTAACCCCTCATTTATGCAGCGAATTCGCGTTACCTGTGAATTCAAGAGAAATCTGGTTTTAAAATTTTTTTAAATCGCTCTGACAGTGACTTCACTTCTACATAATATTATAAAACGTCAATCACTAAACAAAAAGATTTAAATCAATTTTTTTTTCTATTTAAGATATAATTTGGATTAATTATTTTAATCAAATAATAAACAATTTAGATATCTTTTTTTTTATTTTTTAAATTTGTAGGTAGTGTTGTTAAACGGCTCGTTTTGAGCCGATTTTTAAAAACGGCTAACTCAATATTTTAGCCAGAAAAATATAGCCTAAGCCTCGGGATTTCGCTAATAGATGTCCAAACCTTTGTTCCTTCTACAAACAAAATCTTGCCTAATACCTGGATAAATTATTCAGTTTAGCCGTTTAAAAACACTATTTGTAGGTAATAATTTATGTGAGAAATTGACTATTTTTTTTGTATTGAAACAATAGAGAATAAACTATAATTTAAAAATAGGTATGAAATGTTAAATAATTTCAAATTGATTTAATTAATTTTAAAATATTTCCATTTTTGAAAAAAAATTTTTATGTGAAAATTAAACTTTTTTTTTTATTTCTTTTTTATTGAGACTGTTTAAAATATCAAAAAAAAATTAAATTCACAAACTTTCGAAACATTAATAAAATCAATAAAGTTTTTTCGATTTCTTTAAAATTTGCGAATATTTTGAAACTTTTCATATTTTTTTTAAAAAAAATTGGGGTTTTAGACACAGCCTAAAAAATAGAGAATTGACTATCATTTAGGATCAAGACGTATTTGATTCCGATACATAAAATATTTTGGATACAGTAAGACGATACTTTAACGACTCTACTTATTTAGATATGTTGAATAAATTAAAGATAATATAAAATTGTTAGCCTAGTTTTGTCAAGTTTATTAAGGGATTTTAATTAATACTTACAGGATTGACTTATCTACTGTTTTATCCGCAAACGTTTTGTATCTCAAATGAAATTGAAATTAATTGTTCGAAATAAATCGTAATGTGAATGAAATGAAAGTTTTATAAACCAATTATTAAATTAGCATATACACCCTTTTCTTAAGAACACTCTCCTCCCTCCCCTCCCAATTTATTTCACATATCACTTGACCCATCCTTGTAAATTATATTCCATTTTTCTTTTGAACCTAACTTTAATTAGTGCTTATTACGTCATATTTTTTTTTTAATTTGAAACTAAATTCGAATCATATTTCATCTAAAATATTTTTTCCTCACAAATCATGGTAAAACCTATTTAATTTGGGCACCGTCCAAGATTTTTACCCAACTTAAACAGTACGATTTATCGAAGGAATTCGATTGTGACCCAAAATTTTGGGTCAAATTAAGGGGAAGAATTTATCAAAAGCCCAAATTGGGCAAGTTTTACAGTATTTCTATTTAGTATGGCGCCGAGAATCGCTAATTCTTCATCCATCCCAATTCGGTATTCACACAAAAATCGGTCCGATAACCGATTAGATATTTCGATTATTTTTTATTTACCATCCTCTTCCTTAGATCAATGTCGTTAAAAAAAACATTTTAAAATAGAGAATTTAACAATACTTTAGAAAGATTAAAATCCTTCTATTAAAGATTTGGGCTTAATAAAAGCCGATTCAAACTCTGGTTTTAATTATGTTAAATGGAGTTAAAGATAGAGGCTATCTAATTGAGCGTTTGCGTTTCGTTATGCAAAACGGGAACAATGCGTTTCAAGTGGTTTCGTACAAATCGATGATATTAGATCTCACTTAGCGAAAAGAATGATAAACTTTGGGTGGAAAATCCTATGAGCTTGGGAAACAGGGATACTGCAGGGTTTCAATCTGCAGTATTTGTCAAAAAATAAATCTTTCATTTCCATTTAGACAGATAGAAAGGAGAAGTAAAAG